TCTCTCTCTCTCTCTCTCTCTCTCTCTCTCTCTCTCTCTGTGTGTGTGTGTCTGAATCTCTCCCTCTCTCGTTCTCTCTCTCTCGTTCTCTCTCTCTCGTTCTCTCTCTCTCGTTCTCTCTCTCTCGTTCTCTCTCTCTCGCTTCCTCTCTACCCCTCCCTTCCTCTCTTGTCGTTGACTATCTCTGTATCGCGCGGGCGTGTGCGGTTTATTCAGGTTTGCCTTCAGAGGGGCCTGAACGGAGCCTGTGTCAAGTTCGGAGTTGACGATACTATGGAGGAGGTGGGTGGGGTACAGGGGGAGGGGAGCAGGAGGAGGAACACGAGAGTCGCTGCTTTTTACGAATTGCAAATGCCGCTGATATCAAGATGGTTCGCTCAACACATTGGTTGGTGATTCAGTCGGGCTGTTTGATGCCGGAGATGAAGGGGACTTTGCACGGACTCCCCAGCCGTGTTCCCCACCCTATTTTTCCAACAAGGAAACACTAATTTGGATACATCCGTGAAACCCAGGTGGCAAGCATTTCGACAAAAGCTCCGGCACAGGAAGAGCCGGAGAGCGAGTTGATGGCGACACTAAAGAGAAGGTGGGTGCACCGAAAGTCTCATCTTACGGAGCACTGGAATCTAAGGCGTGCCCCAGCAGACGAGCGGCCCCTTCATTGTGCTTCGACGACAAGTCCTGATGGCCCCGACCCGTCCTGATGGCGCCGGCTTACGCTAGCCGGTGAAAGCGAATGCATTGATGCCGTGTGAAGGCTCTGTCCTTGGGGTAAATTTCCAAAGTTCCAATCACATGCTTCAAAGCTCGGGCCAACTTGCCCTCCAGACGACAAACAGATTGTAGCTTGATGCTGTAGAAACGTAGTGTAGGCCCCGTTTGGCCTACGGTGACATTAGCTTCACTTGCATTTTCTTTCGATCAAGCGGCAAGATGGAAGGCCAACACCTGTGCTTTAGTGTCGTTCCTGTGGGTGTCGAGCCTAAAACTTGTTGCTATTGTGTGTGTCGCGCTGCTGCCGGGTATCCTCCCAATTACTCAGAACAATAGAGAACAAGGCCAAGAACGACGAAGAAATCGCCACTAAAACTTTCGCCAACGGGCAGTCTGGAGAGTTCGGGCCATTCAGCAGGTAACACGAACCACACTTCCGATGAGTACTGCTGTTTACGACTTGTCATGGCAAACCCCCGCGTTCGCTCGCTTTCACTCCGCCGTCGAAGAGGATTTTTACCCCACGCGATCGTTGTGCTGCCTATCGTCCTTTCGCATGCAACCGACATACCGCCGTCGTTTTGGTTCGTTCTTTCTGCTCCCTATATTTGGGGGCGAATCAACCGCGGCGGTCACTCCGGTCGATTTCAATTTGGACGCCGGTGCCTTCAACGTGACTCCCTACGCAAAAAAAAACGAAGATATGTTCCAGTCAAGCACAAGGACACGGGAAAGTTCGAGCTGGTGCTCATCAGCGAGCTGGAGGAAATGAAGCGAAATGGCTTGATCGTTAGCGAGCGCCTCGGTGACGTTTTCGTCGACCCGAAATGAGACGAAGAAGGCACACCGTTCAGCTCATGCAGGATGTTGGTTCGATATAGGCACGGCAGACTTTTGGCACGGTGTACATGCTCAGTTTCCTCTCGCTCTTTTTCGTCTCGGTCTTCCTTCGAATCAATAATTGGGCTGGGAGGGGAATGGAGAGGGGAGCGGTCGTGTAGACAGACTGGAGTTTCCTACATGCCCCTTCCCTTCTTTTGTTTCCTGCGGTGTTTGTCTTCAGTTTCGAACGTGAGGACCGTTCAGCAGTCGCTACCCTCTGTCTTGAGAGTACTCACGATGTACTAACACTGAGACAAGGCCTTGGAGATGGACCAAGAGAGAGATACGAATCATGGTGTTCCGTGTAGATTCAAACGTGAGCGCGGGTCACGTCCGCACGCCTTTATATTATATTTTCGACCTTTGTCTGCGTTTTGTTTTCATCTGTCGAGAATAAAGTGAGCCAACGTCATAGCAACATTATGGCAATACGAAGTAGAGTATGATCGGGCAACATACGCAACGTCGTTGAGCTTGCTTTTGCGCTGATGCAGCCTTGCTGCTGTGGCCCTTGGTGTGCACGCGAACACTCGAACGTTTGATACACGTTTGTACCTGTGTTTACTTTCGGAGCGGTTTGCTCGGCTTCGTGAGCGGTAACAACAGCGTCGCGACGGCATCAAGTGTCGACCCTCGATCCCGCGACAATAAGGTCGGGTTGGAAAGATTTTTGTCGTTGACGCCGCGAAGAAGAAACGTGAGGGTGCCTGTTTCGAGCGATGAAGGGTCCAAGTTAACATCTTCATAATATCCCCCAGTTCCCCCGCTCGCACGTGGGCGCTACGTAAAAATGTGGCGTTATCAAACCGCCTTTTTCTGCTGACACCGTTTTGTTCAGCGACGATCTTCGTCTCCTCCATCACTTGCGCGGAGGGAAGCTATTTCTGCAGAACGAAAGACACGTGTTTCGAGCGAAAAAATAACCGCGAACGCGAACGACGTATGAAGCGTAGGGCATAAACCACGTTACTCGGACTCCTCCGACATATCTCGAACGATCTCTCCGCTCTGAACAACTTGTTTTGGAAATGAAACAGTTGCATCCTGGGTATAGAGTCGATGATAAAAGTCGCCCAATTCTCGAAGAGCTCTAGCTGGAGTCTGCGGTTGAGGTTACAATGGGATGAAACATTCGCTTCACACGTTTTGCCATCCGCACAAATCCACTTTACCCCGGCAATACTGCCACCTTTAAATAAATATGCACACACCCAGCGACGCCACACGGCATGCCACGTGTACTAGCAATCGCTGCAATACTTTAGGGCGTCTCTTCCACCGCCCCGTATAGTCGCCCCCCCCCTCCCCTGCCTCAAAAAAACTCCGAACCTCCTGCGGGGGATTGAAGCCTAGACAACGCTTCCCCCCCCCGGTCTCTGTTGAAGACACCAGAGCCGTTGCCCACTATACTGTCCATCTCAACACCACCGCCAACGCCACCGCCATTCCAAGAACTCCCTGTTGCTGCACTCTCCCCGCCTGGCGTACGAACCGCAGCGGAACGAGACTTTCCCCAACCACCGCCTGCCCTTGTGCTGCCGGTGAGCTTTTTTCGAGACCCGGCGTGCGACCCTGAGTCCACCTTAGAAGATATGCCACTTGGGGGTCTAAACCCTGGGAAGTCTCCGGTGATCGCGTAGCTCCATCTGGTTCGAACGAGAAAGAAAAAGTTGAGGAGAACGCTCGGCGAGGCGGGACTCATAGGGTTGTTTCGAATGACACTGAAATGTTGATATGTGTCGTTGACGAATCGGCTAACTTTTGCCCTAGTTGTTCCTTTCTCGAAGAAGAAGAACTCTGATTTATCGTTGGAGTTGGGAATGCCAGCCTTCCTTTCTTGGTGTTATTTTTTGTAGTCTACTCTTGTGGGGTACAATGTTTTGCTATGGCTAAGAGCAAGGTTTACGAGCATTTTCTTTCCGTGTGCACAGACGGCAGGTGGGTGAAAGCACGATAGGACGCAGGCATATGTTGCGGTAATCTGCTCGAGACTAAAACTTGTTTCCCGCTCATGAGTCACATCTCCTCACCGTGTCCCTTGCCCACCTTATATCTTCCGTCTCGACGATGAGGCGGCCCTTTTGGTTGGGCGCATACTGTGTGGGCGCGTATGTTACGGTCACGGGGGTTCCGTCCGTGCCGAACGGCGTAAGGACGCCATCGGTGGGCTCAACGGACAGACTAAGAGCGCTGTCTGCCGTGAAGAACGCCTAAAAGTCGAGCAATATGCGAGAACGAACAGATCCAAGTCAACGTGGTGTCGTTGAGTCATCCTCAATTGATCGGACGAAGAGACATGCGGCCTCTACGAACTTGGTTCGACCGATTCTTGAGGTCTCGCCCGTAGAAATCGATAGGTGTGCTTTACTATGCACTCCGTGCACCTAACTAACTTGTTTGGATAATTCTTACTACGCTCGAGAGAAATGAAACCTATTGACTAAACTGTAGTATTTTGGCAGAACCAAGACGTCTCCTACATTCGTGCCGCAGAAAGCACCACATTCGTGGGTGGGGAACCGGGAGAGAGGTATGGAACCTCTTTCAACGCGTGACCCCACATCAACGTCACCTTCACGAGAGCGCGATTGTTCGCCATTGAGTCAGTGATTCTAGGTGATGGTAGCGTATGTAAAATGAAGCAAAACTACACGTAGATCAAGACAAGGAGTTACCTGCGCCTCCAAGCACGCTCAACATATATACGAGCTGGCGGTGGTGACACCAACTGGGCTCACCTGGAAGGGGGCGTATCCCAGGTAGCGGTTGCAGAGTCTAAACACAGCAGACGAGACTCCGCCGACTGAGGCCCTGAGAGAGATGGTGTCGTCTGGAGGAGCGTCGGTGGCTTCCACCTTCACCTCGTAGCGCCACCGGCCCCCGCCTGTCTTGCGCTTGACGATGACCTCCACTATTGTGCGGAAAGGTTTCAGGGGCTCGAGGGACACCTGTGCGAAGGGTCACGGTTTCGGACGGACACGCAGCGGGACAGAATTAGTCGTTTTCGCGGCGATGACATCGATGGCAACACCGTGGCTTCGACGTGCAAGCGTCAATCTGTCGATTCTCTTAGGGCGAGTGGTAATGTATTCCGGTGTAGGGCTTTTGAATGCTCGTTTGACAATAACATAGGCTCAGAGTCAGCACGAAACGTCCTCAGCGGTGTAACACACGGAAAGCATGTTACGATGTTTAGCCGCCCGCGCTCGCGTGCATCTTGTTGGAAGTTAACCTTCACGGCGAACGCGGGGTTTCATAGGATTCGCATCCTGGAGAAACGCTCCACAACCGTAAATACAGTCTTTTAGTGCCGGTGGCTGAGCCATTACAAGGAACAGTAGCACGGAAGGGCTCGCAAATGGTCGAAGGGGCCACCTCCATGGCTTACGTACCGCAGGATGAATACGGTGTACCGCGAGGGACGCCAGTTGAATCACGGTACTATTGCCACATGCAAGGGCGTTGTGTTGGGCGCATCTGCAAAATTCGGTACATACAGTATTCGACACTTTCGGGAACTTCTGAAGGATTCACGGCGTCTGCTCGTTTTGTCGAATCTGGTACGTGTCTAGAATTACGTTCATCGACGCAACCGACAAAACTTGGTGCACCACATGGTATTGGCGTCCAACTCGTCCCTAAGAATTAATAGTTGCCCAAGGGATTCGGTATCCCGCACTTGTTCGTTTCACTGCATCAGCGTTCGATTATATTTACAGGTCGACCCCCCTGTTTATCGCACCTGAAACTTGAGAGGTTGCCGAGGGTCCGAAAGCTTTGTCGTGACGGGTACCACGCTCAGGGCCCTATCCAACATCCTGGAACACAAGCAACGCAGCAGCAATGGTGGCGGTACGGCGATTACAGCGGGGCTACATGCGAGACGCGATGCAGGCAAAGTACGTCTCGAATCGTCAAGTGCTCTGCATCCTGGCTGCCCACAAAACGAACTACAGCGCAGCAAAACTATCCTGGCTCTCGCCGTACGCGATACAATGGACTCTGAAGCATAGTCAACAAAAGCAACCTTGAGCATCGTGTAAGGTGCGATAAAACGTACTTCCTCTTCTCCCTTGCCTTTTCAACGTGGCATCTTCCGGTAACGCCACCTCGAACTGGAACTCCTCGTCCTCCTGTACTCCGGCCAGCCCCACAAGCTCGGCCTTGGAGAGAGAGGGGAGGCGAGGTGAGGCATGACGGCCGGGCAGGTGCAAGTCTGTAAATGGCGACCGGAACACGCTGCAAAGTTGGCGTCCTTCGTCTGCCTTTCCAATCAGTTTGAAGGTTGCTGTTGAATATCGAGGGTGATATTCTGGAGGTATCATTTGACAGAGTAGCAAAGAACACGGTCACACTTCAGGTAACTAGGGGGCGGGTATCAGCTGGGCATGGGTAAGACAACGTTCGGCGGACTCGAAAGTGTTCAAAATCTCTCTGAGGTTCGAATGGCAGCGAAATACGTTGTCGAAGTAGCACCAAGCACTACTTTTTCAGTATCCAACTTCCACGCCCAATACAACAACGAAGAACTTGGCAAGGTGACGACCGTTTGCACCGGCGACACGTCCAGGTATCTACTCAGCAAAATACTAGTAAACCTGTCCGCAAAGACTTACCTCAAAGTCTTCTCGCGTACTCGATTTTGCCGGGCAGGAGATGGAGAACACCTTCAACCCACCCGGGGCTTCACCGCCCCCCACGACCGGGAAAACCCATGTCAGCGATCGCCCCCCGAGCTGGCCTCGTATTTCCACGCACGCCCTCTCCTCTACGATCACCTCCGGCGAGAAGCTCAGAGGAATCTGGAAGATCAGAATCCGCCACACATTATTTTCTTCTTTTCACGAGTTTCAGGAGAGAAACCCCAACCAAACGGTACTAGAGAACGCCTTGCATACAAGATGATTGTCGGTTTTTCCAGATATCATATCAGTCTGTTGATTTGCGGAGGAGCTTCTCCCTCCCCCCGCCCCCTAAGTGACCGGAGCTCTATTCAAAGATGGGCGGAAATTGAAACAAACAGGTTCAACTATATATGTGGATACGAGGAATCTTGGAAGCGTAGGATCCATGTGTACACACTAAAAGTGGAGGAAGACCAATCCTTCGAAGCAACCGAGACAGGTCGACTTCGGGAGCGCGATGACTTCAATATGCCACTTGCTGACATGAGCGGGCGAACCTCCATTCGCACCGACCGCTCTGCGAACTCTCGTTGTGGACCCTCTCTCATTTCCAACACATAACGGAGAAAAACGTGCATGCTCTCAGAAGTGGGCCAAAGCTACCTCGACCTTGGGATATCTCAACCATGCCGTCTATATTACGTCCCCAAAACTGAAAATTAAAAAATACCCAAAACAAAACACGAACAAAACGCACACACAATTGCGAGGATGTGTTTCCCCCGTCTGACTGCGTTTCCACGACCTTTAGTCTTCATTCATGAACAACAGTGAACAGTCCAGGATAGTTTAGCGAAGGATTCATAGTTTCGTGTGACCTCCCCGCGGTTCTACTACAGATAGCGACCGCACTTGAGAAGATAGTTGGCAGTGAAGAACTTGAA